TTTTTTTTCTAATATAAAATAGGAGACCAACCTCAATGAACATCAACAAAGTAATTTATCTCAACAACAAAGTAGTTTATCTCAACAACAAAGTAATTTATCCGAACAACAAAGTAGTTTATCTGAACAACAAAAGAGTTTACCTCAACAACAAAGTAAAAATTATTTTTAAGAAAAATTTCATTATCTAATTATCGATTCAATAGGCCAAACTATAAATGATGCATCAGCCATCCTTCGTGAGTTGGCAGAGATAACGACTGAACATGAACATGAACGGATCGATCAACCTTTACCAACAACAACAGCAGCAGCAGGAAACTTGGTCGAAATAGTTGATCTATCACCATCAACATCTCGTACGATCGATCTACGTACACCGACACCAACAACAATCGATCTTTCAACACCTGCACCAATTACGATCGATTTAGATTCACCTCAAATACCATCCAATATTAACACTACGGACTCACCACTTCATTTAAGTCCAAAATAATACTTTGTTTGTTTTCTTCTTTCCCGTTTTTTTGCCCTATACTCTATTATCCTCTTCCGATAACTTCTGATTTATTACATATCAAGTTATTCCCTTCGTTCAATTCATTTTTGTCCTTTTGTTCTAGATGATTAATTACAATATATTTCATCATGACTCATCATAATGAGTCGATGAAAATCAAAGTAATGACGAAAATGTCAATGTGATCTATTCATATATTTATCATTTCATTTTTATTTTTGTATATTATAGTATGAGGACTCGTCAGTGTCAACTCATCAGAGTCAACAAGTGGATACTAACATTTGAGTTCAATTGATAAAATAACAAAAGCAGAGATTTGGCGACATTCACTACCAAGAAATCAATCAATCTTTTGAACACACGACTACAATTAGTTGACTTAATCACCAAGAATTAAGGCAAATATCTATACTCATTTATCAAAATACAAAGATTTACAAGGCGAAAAATTGTTATCGACAACATGCTCCAAATTTGCCACTTGATAAGAATTCTTGTAAATCCGAAATACTATTGTATTGTGGTAACTGTAACACACGACCAGATTATAGGTAAACAACTTACCTATAATGACATATTCGCCAATGCAATAAGACGTTCATATGACTCACTATCACACAGGTATTTGCCACTTGATAAGATTTTATTTGTAAAATCGAAATACTACATATTTAGTATTGTGGTTACTATTCACGCTCACATCCAAACTACTAATGAGTAGCACGATACTTCTTGTGAGTATAATAAAATTAGATTTATTCTTACATATCAATAACTATGATATTATTTCTTTGTTTTCTTCTTTCGTTCTAGTACCAACCACAAAGAGTCGCAGGACAGAGTCATATTTGTTACAAAATATTGATCGAGAGTTTAGAGAAAGTTTTCTCTTTCAAACTTTCTATCAAATGTCTCGAATTTGTAGGTAGAATCGAATTGCAGCACTTTAAAATTTAATAGCCG